GGTCTTTTTTTACAAAATAAATGGAGGGAGACCTGGATATAAATCTGGCTGCTTGAATAAGCTGCTGGTACGGGTCGTGCTTCCGCGATGGATCGGGTAGTGACATGCAGAACTATAAATGATACATACAGACGGCATAGCATTTCCTGCCTCCATCTTATTTGTTTTTTTTATATTTATCAATTTGTACATTTCAATATTTGCTTAACTTTTGAATGATTCACCCTTATGTTACTTCATTAGACTCCATTGTTTGTCTAAATTGGGATTTTTTTTTCCCTCCCTAGGTGTGAATCATTGAATAGCACCTGGTACCTGGGAGAGAACTGCGACATGCCCATCCAAAAAATTCCTTTTTATGCAGGGTTGAGTGTAACCCTTGTCGTCATGTTGGCCGCCGTGGGAGGCCTGGTCGCTTACACTGTGGTCAACAAAAACAAACAATCAAAGTAAGTGGTCATGGGAATTTATTTGTTGAATAAAAACATGAAAACACTAAAAACAAAGGAGGAAGACTGTTCATTGTTCCAGGGTGAAATGATGGCGCCAAATTTAGTCCTGAAACATTTCTTGCTCGCCCTCTTTGCTTTACAAAAAGGTTTCTCGCCCCCAGATAACCTGAATTACCTTGGTTGATTGTTAGAAACCAGAAATTGAAACAAAAACATAGATGTATTTTTTAATTTATCCAAAGTTACAATAAACTTATTCAGATTCATGTTTTTTTTTATCTGGGAACGGTGTTCTGTCAGATAAGCATACCCAGTCAGACCAGCATACCCATAGTCAATACCCATTTAGTTTATCCCTTTAGTTTTGTACAAAAAATACACTTTAAACTACCTCAACAGGTAGTCCTGTGCAAACAAACTATTTCATTACGTACTTTTTGGTGTTTTTTGATGTGTATGGTGATCGCGCCCAGTGTTTCACCAATCCAGAGATTAGACCAAGCAATAACTAGGGAATTCTGAGGCAGGCCGGACGTAGAAAATCTCTAAACTAAAAATGTTTTATATCTTTCTGCAGAAAGAAAGACATGAAAGAAAAACTGGTGAACGAGTGGATGGATGACGACGTTGAGTGGTCCAGATCTACGAGCCCATCAGGAGCAGCTGGAGCCAGTAAGTTTCTAATTCATTTAACGACCCCCATCCAGCTGAGTCATGGGTCCCAGATGTGTAATGATGTTGCTCACACCACACACTGACAAACAAATGTAGTAGATAAAATGTCGTGCTTATTTATTTAAAGAGCAACTACTGTAAGATGAAATGTTTTAATTATAAATATCAGATGAGTAAAAGGGTTCCTGTAAAAAAGTCTCACCAACGTTCAAACATCTTGGCTGTTGTCTTATATCTTGCTTCCATTTTTCCATAAATGTCCCAAAGATGCCATCAGGTTGCTGAGTCCATCAGTTCTGACTGCAGTAGAACTCCCCGATAAAATGATGCTAACACCTCCGTAATTTGCAGTTAGGATATCTTAGACTTCAAAGTTTCTCCATCTTCAACATTCCAAAAAAGTTTAAAAAAAAAACAAACCACTGGACTTTGTTTGTAAGTTTGAAGACATTTCGCTTCCCATCCAGGAAGATTTTTTAATTCAAAATGTCAGAAATAGCGTTGAGTTCCAGGTTTTTATAGAGTAGCCCAACAAAGCCTTGTAAGGCTTAGAAAACATGAACATTGAAACTGCAAAACCAGCTACACCTCTTAATAATACCTAAGCAATACCCGATACCGGCCCATTCCTCTGGAAAGGAAGTCATTAAGGGTCATTGTTGGTCTGGCTCACCTCGCGAGATATTGTGTCGCCTTGGATGGAGGTTGAGATGGTATTGGGAAGGAATCAGCTCTATTGCTGTGTTGTAGGTTTTTTAGAGCTGAAACCTGAGTCCCCCCCCCAGTTTAAGGTTGTTTTTTCTCTTTTAACATAAATGGCTTCCTTCACTAGCCTCGTGAGACCATCCTGATCTCGCGAGCTTTCAAGGTTTCACTCGCA